GCGGAGATTTTCCTGAAGCCGTCAGGATCATATAAGTCGTTCAATAATAAAAATTTCCAATTTGATACGGCGCACATCAATCCTAGTTATCACAATAGTATTTTCACGATTTTCTCAGTCTCTTTTCACTACCTACGAAAACGAAGGAACACGCATTGATTAAAATTTCCTTAGTCACAAAAGTCAATGATTTAATATATTTTGAAACCTCCCATTTAAGAAATCCGAATGAGGTAAAAAACTCATAGTAAGTTACCTTCTGTTATTCATTAATCCTTTTGATGTAAATATTTTCGCAGATCGATAAAACTAAATTCGAACATCCGCAAAGGCCCAGAAGTAACACACTATTTACGAACAAGTCTATTCCAATGCATTAGATAATACAAGATAACCAAGTGAATTAATGAATGAACGCTGGTTCATCATACAAACGAACCATAAAAAAGTCACGAAGCTTTAAAATAAATGAGCTACTTATAGCAAATGGGGGTGAATGAATGAACGAGCATTTAAAACTCGGCCAAGAAGGTTAGACAGGGAATTTGAATTAGTATAACTGCGCGCAAAATAATTCCGTGCGTCGTGTGTAAAATCACGTCGCGGGCCAAAACTTTCTATGTCAATCTCGTTTGGGAGTAGCTCTCGGAAGCTGTTTTTAATTCCCTTTTTTTTAATTCCAAAATTTCGAGTGGCGCCAGCTCGAGTTGGGTTTCTCTCACCGTCTCGGAGCCCGGGCGACCCGAATCAATTCAAACGTCTCGGGGTTTTTTTGCAATCCTGTTATCGTTTATCGCCGCCGTGACACGGTTCCGATTCGCGCAGAAATCCGCGACGTCCAAAAAATGACGTTCATAATTATTTTGAAATGCGAGGCGCCGCGCCGGCGTCGAGTCTGCGCCTGCGCCGCGCCGTGGCGCCCACTCCTGGGCCCGCTTTTTCGCGCAAGCGCAGTCCGAAAGCGCTCGTAACTCATACTCCTAAAAGCGCTTAAGCGTAATTTTCGAGGCTCATGAAAACGGAGACAACTCCGGCGTCCTCTGATTGTCGGCATTGTGATCGTTCCTCGGATGGCTCGTAATTAATTAAGCTCCTTAAGAGTCTTGCGAACAGGTTCTCCGTTTTCGTCTCCGTCGCTATTTTATGATCATCCCGCTTCGCTCTTGTATACGCAGAATGTATGATATAATATTGACAAATTCGTATCTTCTCGAAATTTCTTCTTGCCTTTGAACCTCTGCCCCTCCAGCTTTCTATCCCTCTAGCTCTCTTCCCTCGGCCGGAAAAGCGCGAAGAAAACGTGATTTTCGGTCCTCTTCAAACTTTCGCGCCCTCTAGTGCCTTAAATTTAAGTCCTAACGCAAAACCTGATATTTCCAATTTTGTCGAAAATTTACTTGGCTACAACTTTGCTAATAACTAAATTTACGCTCCAACGAGCAGTAAGCTATTTATGCCCGGAAAAGCGCGTGAAAAACTGATTTTCAGAAGTTTTCCGGATTTCCCGGGAACGCACAAGGCGGATTTGGTGGGGGTACATCAAATTCGGATTCAGCGACCCAAATTACATAAGAATCAGCTTTAATCTCCTCTGACCTCTTTTTTCGCATTCTTAAACCCCTTTTGGTACCAGACTACTCCTGTCACTAATTTTACCTCTGTACCTGTAAGACAATTCAACCTTCTACGCACGCTCGGGCTCAAAATTATGCATTTTGGGTCTCCATTACACATCCTGAAAATTGTGATCCATTGTAGCCTGAAATAGGCAGAAATGATTTTTTAATTGTTGGCATAGCACGTAGTGGAGTAATCAGGACCTCATGACAGGAGTCTGTTTGTGCTGCAATAGCGACGAGGCTCTGGAAGTCCAAACACTGGACAAAACAGGTGATAACAGAGGAGACCAAGTGTGAAGAAGTGTATGAACACTCGAGAGGATTGTTTTGTTTACTTTGGTCGTACATGCACTGTTGCACGTCCCTTTTGATTAAGGCAGACGAGTTCATCTTCCGATAACCACTGGAACACGCGCGAGTGGAACGGTACGAAAAAAGAGACGAAAAGTACAAAGGGATAATTAATCAAGAAACAAAGAATAATTGTCAGTGAGGCGGTGATACGAATCTGCCACGGAAAGTAATTGATAATTTAGCCTCGGTTTACGGAGAGCATGTAATGGTAATCTAAAATTTAAATAATGGACGTTTCTCACATTCCTCGGATCTTTGAGCTCGGCTCCGTTGACATCACGACAAGTGACTCCGTTGTCCGATGACTATCGGCGCTCCGCAACGTTGCGACGGCGTGCATCATCCATCAATAAAATCATCGGCCCTCAACCGATGGAGACGAGAGTTGTTGTCCTCTTATCGTGCGGAGGAGTCGGTCGGCCCCGGGGTCGTGCGTTCACTCAACATTTCCGCACTCGTGTCTTCAGTCTCCAACAGATAAATTATAATTATTTCTAAAGTGTGGGTTATAGCTAATGGACATCCATTTTTCACGGCCCCCTTTGGCTTCACTCCAAATTCCTTTATCGAGCATCGCTTTCCTAACCTTTCCCAACTTTCGATTTCTTATGGGACCCCAACTCCAATGCTCCTTTTTCTCATAAATTCCGCGCACCTGATGATTCCACATTTTTCAACTCTGGTTTTTTGCTCAATGATGTCTTCATTCTACTGGTACTAGGCATTTTCTCAATATCATTTAATATCTCCCTTCATGTAAAATATGTCTGGAAATTTCTCCATCTAAGCAAATTTTTCAGTATAGCACAACGTCAAAAGCAAAATCAGAAGAAAGGTACCTATATGACATGGATAGTTGCATTTGAACCTATGATTGAGTTTTCTCTATCGCGAAAGCATAGGCTTGTATTTCAGTTCATAAATTACGCTACGAATGAAGCGAAGAAGCTATCAAATATTCCGTATACCTGGTCAAAGACAAAACAAATTCGGCCATGTAGGCTGAACTCTGCTTCACATGACACGTCAAAGTTCCTCGGCCAAGGTAACCAAAGTTTTCAATGCTTCAGGGGAAAAAAAATAATAAAAAAACCAACAGTAGAGCCATTAAAAGAAAAATTGTGCTCGAGTGAGCTTTCCCCCTATGTATTGAGATTTTCAATTCACCCGATTGTGAACTCTAACGCTCGTTGGCCTAAACATCAACTTTCTGTCTGAACGACTCGTACGTCAAACTACAATCAGTTTACATGTGTAATAAAATTTTAGTGTATACGAAATCGCGGAAGTAAACCCTGTGTCTTCACCGTGTGGCTGTACCCCTAGTAATAATTTTAGCGGTGGATGTTGCGCGCTCACAATAGGGTAGTTTGCTTTAAAACGATGCGGTTAATATTTATTTATGCGAGTAACTATTAATTACCCGGCTTTGTAATTCCGGCGAGGTCATTGCATCCGTACCTGCTGTGCGTGGCGAGATTGAGACGCATGTCAACTCCAAGGGACGTCCTGCGCGTGGTAGGCTTCAAAGATAAAATATAGGGTGCCACCTCAGTTGTGTTTGTTTATAGAGAAAGAGCCAGGTTTCGGAAATTGAGCTCACGTCGGGGAAACACCTTTTTCTCTCCTTTTTTAATACGCACTTTTTTAAACAGCGCCTAATTGTTTAGTTTTATGATAGGTTAGGAGTTCGTACTTAAGGTAGATTTATTGCCCGGGCAGTAAATCAAAATCAGGGATGTTGTGTTATTTATTGCCGAGGCTCGGATTCGTTCCTACCTGTCCAACCCGGCAGCCACCTCGTCCTTTGGTATTGTTGAACGACAGTTCCTTTTGTAGGTCACTGTTTCAATTGTTTTCTCCGTCTTTTTGTCTTTAGCTCCGTCTCTTTTCTCCGCGATCCCTGCTCTTGTCCTTTTTATGATCTTTTCGGACAAGAGGCAGACTTACAAGCCTTTGAGCATTACTTTGTGATTTTAATTTTTCTCAGCTCTCGGTTGTTCGTGTACTTTGTTCTTGGTGGGACGAATTATACGGTTAATGCCTTTTCGAGCCCTTTTTTTGTCTTCTATTCTTCTCAATTTGTGACCGAAGTATGTAGGCTCGGTGATTTTCTTCTTGCCAAAAGAGATACAAACGAAGATGATTAAAATACTATGCAGCGCCCAAGAGAAAATTTTGAGTAAAATATTAAAAATGTTTTTGTCTCCATGAAAAAAGAGAAACCTATACGAAGATTATGTCGTGTTTAGAAAAGCCCTTCCTATTATCCATCTGCACGATGCCATTAATGAAACGGATTTTGAAACTTTCCATGACTTCCGAGGTGGTCATCTGAAGTATTTCAAGTTTTCATTAATTCCCGGGTACCCTGGAAAAATAGAAGGACTTAAATTTTCGGCCAGGAATTTTTTTTTTTTTTTTTTTTTTTTTTTTTTTTTTTTTTTTAATAAAAATGAGTAAAATCGTTCGAATCAAGTCGGTTTCTTCTTGATACACGCGCCTTTTTTCCCTGATACAGGCATCTTTTTATATAATTCTAGAAACATTTTCTCTTGGTAGAAAATTCAATCAAAGGACCGAAATGCCCACCCAGACGGTTGAATGTTCGAATATTATTGGATTATATGGATTACGTTTTGCAATATGGAACCACTATTTCTGGTCCGTTTTAGAAACAACATACATGCCATTGGTTTCCCTACGCAGACATGTGCTTTTATGGGAGAGCCAGAGATAGTGGTTCCTTATTGCAAAATGTAATCCATATATACGTGAGTCACTTTTACAGTGTGCCCGGGCGCTCTGCGACATCTAATCGCCACCCTTGTCTATTGAAACAGAGGTCAACTGACAAATTGCACCTTGCAATTTCATTTTGAATGCTACATATTCACGATTTCGCTGGGCGTCCTGTACGTCTACGTCGGGATTTTATTTTAGGTTTAAGTTTATTGCTTGTTAGTGTGTCAAAAAAGACAAGTTGACTAGATACTCATAGATTTGTTTGCTTGTTTTCTGTTGCAGTACGATGAAAGTGGACTACACGGGTATATGGATTCGCCGGACGTGGCCGGTGGAATGTACGATGCCCACCGGCCGGGGGGTCCCCTCCAAGGGATGACGCCCTCCCACGTTAATCACTCTATAGGCGGAGGCATGTTCCAACCTTCGAATCATGTTGTTAATCCTGTTATATCTGATGCTCATAAAAGGGATAAAGTCGCTATTTACGGGTAAGTCAAATCACAAATACTCTCTTGTCTAGATTTTTTGCGTTGTTTACACTTACTTGGCGCGTCCTTAGAAAACCGTCCTCGTATTGAATAAAGGGACACATCACGGGAAAAAAGAGCACAGGGTTGTTGGATGATGTGGAAATTTCCAATTAATTGTGATTGTACCCAAATAAAGTAGGTTATTGACCCAAATGCTGCGGTACTACCCCAACTTAAGTTGCAGTAACACCAAAAGTAATATAAGAAATGCCCATATCATCCAAAAAAGTGGCGTAGTGCAACAATTATTTTAAGGGATAACCCCAAATGTTTTGATATTTCCGTTTTTCGCTCATTTCATAGTTTTCCTCACGAAGGAACGTAGCTATATTCCAATTTAGAAAAATTTAAAATCCAAATCATGGATTCCATTAAAAGTAAAAATAATGAAAAAATTAAGCATCATGGCACACGTATGTTTTCTTAGCAAAATTCCACGCCAGACCGGTTGAAAATATCAAACAATTGCAAACGTATTTCATGAAAGAGGAATGAACGTGCGTAGTTTACATTATACACAGTAAATTAAAACTTTCCTCTCGCAAAAAACCATAATTAAAAAGAGCCTGACTAAATCAACTCAAGCGTTAGGCGAATAACCAGAGCTTGCTTTCACAGCACATTTTTTCATTCTTCACTAATGCAAGGTATCCTTGATTCGGCAAAAAGAAGTTGGTACACAGAAAAATCTCTACATTGTTAAATATACTGCAATTACTTTTGTGCTCGAATTGATTCGAGTGGACTCCGATTAATCTGTCAGGTAGGAGTATGAGTTAACTCTGACAAAAACCGTTATTTTCTTACTTATGAATTGAATTTGGAACACTGGAAAAATAACACATTGGATCTAGAGTCCAGACTTCACAAGAAGAAAAGACAAAACATTCACAAGAACAAGGACTCTTGATTCAAGCAAATTTAAGCTTAAATCAAAAGGAAATCCGCTCAAATTAAGAGGCTTGGTTCTTGATTTAAGCTTAAATCTGATTGAATCAAGAGTATTTTTTCTTGTCGATGTTTTTAAGAGTCTGGACTCTAGATCCAATGTGTTTTTTTTCCCAGTGAAAGAGTCGATACTTCCTTCTTATTCCATGTAAAATGCCGATAAGGGAATATACATTGTGATTCTTAATTTTTTACCCTGTTTACTGGTCCATCATTGTGCAAACTGCACTCGAATGGGACTCGCTTTGCCGAGAGGGGGGCTGTTTGGACAGTCCGGGAAGGAGGGACCGACCCTTGCTCCTTGGCTCCTTGGCGGGAAGTTTAAATTGAATTACTTGCGAAACATGGAGAAGAGACGCGGGCACGGGCAGCGAAACGATTAGGGACTCGGCAATTCGGGAACGTAAATTACATCGGTTTATTTCAGCTCTGCAATGATTTACGTCAGTGTGAATTCTGTGTCAAGTGTTCTGAACGCTGAACTCGGCTTCGAATCAAGCGTAGTTGCCATGTTTATTCGAAAATTCGTTGAGTATTTGGAAAATCACGGGAAAAAATTACCGCTACCTTCTGCACCGTGGTACTCTGCCGTCCTAAGGAAGAACGCCGTATGAACATTCGAGTGTTGCCAAATTTCATTCGATAAAATGTTTATTTTTGAGGAAAATTATGAATATTTTTCCTTGGAATTTTCAGGCACCTTAGATCATATTACAAACAAAATTATCTGAGAAATTGGCAGAAAATATTCAACAATTTTCCCGAAAATTAGTGATTTGTCAGAGGAAATTTGGCAACGCCTGAAGGTCCATACGGCGTTCTTCCTTAGCACGGCAGTACTGTACTGTACTGTGCTGTGCTGTGCTGTGCTGTTCTGTGCTGTGCTGTGCTGTGCTGTGCTGTGCTGTCCTGTACTGTACTGCTGTAACATACCCAGCGTTTCAGGGGCGAAGGAGTTCTTATCGGCTAATCTGCAAAGACCTTGAACTACTTGACTTAACATTAATTTAAATTTAATAGCTGTATATAATGTCTCCTAGTGACTTTTGAACTCATCCCGTTAGTAAATTGGTGTTGAGGAAAGTCGCCTCCCATTTTTGAATTAAAGATCAAAACATATAATTCACACATATCGGTCAAATATAATTGATGATAAAGTCTTTCTGAATCTCTTACTGTAAAGTACCAGGCCTGCTTAGCTGTTTTTAAAGGATACCACGTGTGAAATGGCTCAGGACTGCTCTCTACATTAAAAAGGGGCGTTGGAAATGATTCTCGGTGAAAATAAGCATTTTGCTCTCTTTGACATCGGATAGACTTTTAGAGGCCGCTTCCGTGCCCAGAGTGCTGTCATTCTACTTTTTTACCAGCCTCTGAAATTTCGCAAAATTTATTTTGAGTACAATTATGTGGTGAGCTCAGAAAAGTTTTCGTGCAGAAACAAGATATTTTTACCGACTTTTTTTCACTCCCCATTCTCGTCTAGTCTACAGGCATAACTAACAATGTTCAATACAGCACTTCCCTGATGGCACCCCTGATAATACTTTCACGTCACAGACATAGAATCTAATAAGCTGCTATGACAGTGCCCTCCAAATGTATATTGCAACCTTGCACATACAACTTTTGAAGCGAAGTACAAACAGAAAAAAGGAAAACCAGACAAAAAATGGTGAAAAAACGACACCTCGCTGAAAGACGTCAATCGAAATTTCTGCGTAACTTCGTCATGCGTGTGTGCACGCATTTATTTCTAAAAACTTACTTCTCAGGTTTTGGGAACTGTGGGAACAATATTTGACCGCTACCTTGTAGTTAAGAGTATCTCTTTCGAATCAACCGTTAAGGTCCTAATGGTGAAAATCAATACAGTATCAGCAAGGTTCTATGCAATTGTAATAATCGGTGCGCGTTTGCATGCGCTCATAGATCACCCTCATTAATCTAACTAACTGGATATTTAATCTGAATCTTGATTACAAGCTTGCATATTGAGGGGTAGGAACAACACCGCTTAACTGATAATTTTCCGGCAAAAATTATTTCGCAACTTTTCCGTATTCTACTGTATAAAGCAGAATGCTGGTGTCATTAGTTTTTTCCCAATTCTGCCCGGAAGCGTTGTAATGACGCTGTGATGTATGCAATTTAAATTGCAAACCTAAGAAAAAATTTACAAAATTGGCAAGGTTTTTTCTCAGCCTTGTAAATTCGTTATTTCCTCACGAAAGAACGTAACTATATTTCGGTGTTGCCAAATTTCCCCCGGTCAATTGCATTATTGCCGGAAGGACCTTGAACGCGTTTAACTATAAGTTTTTTAGATTTTTCTTCTTATATCATGTAAAAATAAAATAAAAAAATCGACAAAAATTGCATTTGCACATTTTTATAAAAAATTGAATTGTTTGAGTCAGTTTTGCAACTCTCGAATGGAGTTACGTTCTTTTGTCGCCAGAAATGAGGAATTTGTAGATAAGCTGTATTATTTCTTAACCATCGACATCTTTAATGATCAACCACAGGATAAGGGATCTTGCGTTTGGTTTCCGCAAAACGTGAAAATGCAGTTATTTTGAGGGCAATTTTTGGATTTTATAAGGGGGGGGGGCTTTCCCCCGAATATTCTCCCCCGAGCCTCATCTCTAATGTTAGAAGAGCAGATACGTTCTTATGTCACCAGAAATGACGAATTTGTAGATAAACTGTATTATTCCTCAGCCATCGACATCTTTAATGATCAACCTCAGGATAAGGGATCTTACGTTCGGTTTCCGTAAAACGTGAAAATGAAGTTATTTTGGGGGCAATTTTCGGGTGTTGGAAGGGGGAGGGGTGCTTCCCCCCGAATCTCCTCCCCCTGGCCTCGTCTCTAATGTCAGAAGAGCAGAGTAAAGAGCAATGAGCGTGATTTGGCGACTGCGGCTTGGAGCAAAGTTGGGCTCGTTAGTGAGATGGAGGCAGAGCATTGATTTGAGCGGCGGTGAAGGCGGTGATCCCGCAGCCGCACAGATGCGCACCAGCTAAATATATTCTAATCAACTCCACCGCACCGCGTTGCCGTCTTGAACATCCGTACCAGGAGTCCTTAAACTTCACAGATTTTTCAGCGCAATCAAGCAAAAATACTTCGCGCACTATCCATAGGGTGATCCAAAAGTGCTGCACCACCCTTATGACCCCTGGATTCCTGCCACTTCTCAGGGAGGTCCCTTCAAAATTTCAAGGGGTTCTAAAAGTCGTTTCCTTTGACCTAGGAGTGCTCACAGTGAACCAGTTGCACCTCCAATGTTTCACTTTCATAGTCCAATGATCAAAACATTCATAGGGGTGCTAGGGGACTTTTGGATCGCACTGTATTCTTATTTGTTTTTTAACGGTCTTGGCAACCAGTGGTTAGCATACAACTGTATATATATTCCAGGAAAACTTTGGCGGGGAAGGGTACCCCTGAGGTGGGGGGCTGCAAAGGCCTACTAAAAGACCTGTAAACTGTAGTATTTTAAAATACGGGTCAGAGAGGGCCGTGGTTGGTAATTCGTGTATGTAAAAACAGTTGATAAAGCTGCAGGGTTAATGACGCAAAGTAGAAGTATTGCAGATTGCTGTCAGTAAAGTAATGAATGTGGCAGTACTCCGCTGAGAACATTCATTATGAAAACTTAATTTTCCCCAGAGGGAGGAAAAAAAATATGGAAACATGAGTAAAATCGAAGTCCAGACTCATAAAGTTTTTATTCAATCCATGCAAAAATTATGATTAAACTGAGCATTACTCCGCGGATCAAATTATAGTTTTTTACTGTTGTTTAAATCGATGATTTTCTGACGTGTGGAGGTTTTATTTTAATGGATTTTCATGCATGCTTCTCATTCTAAGAATCACATCAGTAATCAAACTTTTTCTCTTTTTTTTCAGGCACCCGTTATTTCCGTTATTAACTTTAATTTTTGAAAAGTGTGAACTAGCAACTTGTACGCCACGTGACCCCGGTGTGGCAGGTGGTGACGTATGTTCCTCAGAATCGTTTACAGAAGATGTCGCCATTTTTTCTAAACAGGTATGTACAAGCCCATCTCTAATTTATTCGGTTTTCCGCATGCACGAGAAGCACTTCGGAGAGCACAGAAATTTGACAGTCAATTACTTCCTCCAAGTTCAACTATTCTGCCTACGAAAATAGAACGACCTATTTCGAGAGCACCTTAATTCGATGCTGGAATCCATACAGCAAATACTTAATACTTGATGCGTGCGGCTAAAACAGTTCGGCAGTCGTTTATTCACCCTCATTTGGTTGCGTTTTCAAGTGGGAGCCGAATGCACAAAACGAGAGGTCGGGATTGCAGCGGGCATCTGTTACCAATCATCGATGCCCATGTTCTGCAATCCATCTTTCAGTCTGTTGATTTTCTTTCACTTTTTTCGACCAGCTGACCCATTAGGAAGGCATCCAAAACTTTCCTCGGCCACTTTAAACTGCTCGCGCTGTATTAGTTCCCTTCGTCATAATTGCTTTTGTGGTGTTGATTATTTCCTTCACTCCCAAATTCCGTCTTCGTAAATCGAACCGACTTCGGCCAAATTCACGGAGAAATATCGGAGATGTGGGTCGATTGCGGAAACTTCATGGCTTCTTTATCAAAGCTTATCGATCGACGGATCTGTAGACTGCAATACTTCCTGGTACTAGGATTTGACTTTATTATTTTCTTAGCTTTATGGGCTAAATTTTGCAACAAGGAACCACTTTTCCTGGCCTATTTAGAACAAAATATGTGCTATTATTTTTCTTTTGTAGATAGGTGATTTTATGTACATAGAAAGAAAACTCAACACGAAACTTTGGTTAGTACGGGAAGTAAAACACAAAATAACGCAAATCCTCGGTTGACTCTGGAGTTTCTCCATTGTTTTCTGCACTAAATTCACCGCAAACTGTACCAAAATCAACACAAAATTTGGGTTGGTTTGTGTTTCACTTCCTATATAACTAATAGTAACATAAGGACACAAATAATTTTATCAGTTTATGAGTCAGAAATGGTGGTTCCTAATCACAAAATGCATTAATTTTGACTGCATTTTACAGTAAGGAACTATTATTTCTAGCTCATTCATGAAAGCACATGTCTGCAAAATGAGACTAACGGCACATCCGTTGTTTCTAAAACGAGACAGAAACAGTAGTTCGCCTTATTGCAAAATCTAGTTCATTTATGCTTCGACGATTTTGGGATTTTCAACCCTTCTAATTTCCCTCTCATTTCAAGGTTTCGACTCTCTCCACGCATGGGCGGAAACAACAGATTTCCATCGAAAAAAAGAATAGGGACTAAATGAAGATGGATACCCGAAGGGGTTAAACGAGAGAGCTGCTCATTTGAATGTAGCTTCTCGGTATTCGACCACGGGATCCATTATTGTTACTTATTGTTTCTACTATAAGCCTAAGCAGCTGGTCAGGAAACCCATCAACGAAGAATCAGGGAAAACACCCGAAACCGCTCTGTCCAGCCGGGAGGTGACAATGGCTGGCGGGACCGCAGCGAGGCTGGCGCGAGAGAAATCCTAGTCGAAGAATTGAGGAGGAGAAACGCTTCGCGGGAATTCTCAAGAAAAGCGTAAATCCACGCACTCACACACACGCACACCAACAGGCAGATAGCACTCACACGCACGCACATCCACAGGCAGATATAAAGGGACTCGCACGGCATCTATTCAAAATCGATCTCATTATGTCGGGGTCTGGCGCACGGAGCGACTACTACGGGGCCGTACACGGAATCGGCCCAATTTCGAGAGCCGGAGAGCGTGCTAGGGGTGTATTTTTGGGGTTGGATTCCGGAAAAATGGGGTGCGTGAAGGTTGAGGATACGGTTGTTTAGTCTGCGGCGGCGTGTCGCCCTCCCCCCGTCCGGATGGGGAACGATAACAAAAATTCAAAATTTCTCTAATTTACATGGGTCTCGAGTGTTTATCTAGGCTGCATTATCTTGGTGTAATCGTGTTTTATTTATTTTCGCTCTTCCCGGGCTGTTTATTTTCGTTTGCCTCAAGTGTTGGTTTCACCAGCTGAGCTGCAAACAGAGCTAGGGTCCTGTGCTTAACGCGCTTCGCGCGGGCTCCGGGGTTTTGTGGTAATTCGCCGTCGCGATGTTGAGAGCTTGGGCAGTTTCTGCCGTGCTCAGGAAGAACGCCGTGTGAGCCTTTAGACGTCGCCAAATTTCCTTCGACAAAAACCGAATTTGCAGGAAAAATTGAGAATATTTTTTCCCAAAATTTTCAGACAATTTCGTAGGCAATTTAATCCAATATATCCGAAAATTTAAAAAAAATGTGCATGGATGTCGTCAAGAATACATGTCTTTTCAAGGGCAATTTGGCAACTCTCGAGTGTTCATGTGGCTTTCTTCCTCAGCACGGCAGTGCAACCGCATCCTTTCATGCTGGGCAATAAATTGACGTTCAATTGTACTCGAATGACGTCAAAGTTGCCTACTTTAAAATATTTATTTTCGAAAAAATTCAAAACTTTTTTTGGAGCTTCAAGACGCACTGGTTCAAAATGCGAATGAAGTCCATAGAGTAAAAAGTACAAAATGGTTTCAAAATTTGTCTTTTAGCAGATCAATTTGGCAACTTTCAAATCTTCATACGGCTTTTTTCCTTCGCACGTCAGTTTTAAAGTTCACCCCATAGAGTGGTACCTTATTCAAAAACATGACAGCCTTTCCTCCTCAAAATTGTAATACAAGAATACTAGGGCTCTCTCTAAAACTAATGTTTTCATCAATTTTCTAATCCTTTAATAAGGGAATTCAGTTACTTTTACCAGACGTGGCAACGCAAAGGAGTCTTTAATTATTTTCCAACCAACCGATTCATCTTCTTCGCTCCTGATTCAACTTCTGTTAACGCGGTAAAACCTAGGAATCCAACGTTTCTAGTGACAGTAGCACCGAACTCAAGGGTCAGCCGTAGACTGCTGTGAGTCGAGCTTTTTCTGATCTCTTAATTAGTCTTTGTTCCTCGAGTCCCATAAATTACGGAAAAATTTCCCGAAAATGTCTTCATTAAATCTTCAGAAACGCATTTATTTGAATACGGACTCACCCGACAAAATTCTCGCTCACTTGCACCGACCTAAATCATCGGCTTTAACCAGGAAAATTGACGGGCCTGAGAAAAAGCTACGTTTTCAAGCTTTAATTAGCATTTTTTTTTTAAAAAAAAATAAAAAATAAAAAAAACTCAAGTCCAAGGTTTAGATTCATAAATCAATATTTTTTTCGGATGCGTAATGATATGTTACATAAATGCCCTGCACATATAAGCACTCAAACCCCAAGTTTGGTTGTTTTTTAACCCTGTTATTCTCCCTCCATGATGCAATTGGTGGAATCTCCAATGTATAGTTTCAATCAGTCAAGTTTTCTTTTCGTTTGACTTAATGTGTAAGGTTGAAGACCTCCGTTCTGTGTTTTTTTTTTTTTTTTTTTTTTTTTTTTTAATTTGAACGTCTGAATTCTAGTACCACAATATTTTCCTTAGGCTGTAAACCAAAGCTTCGAGACGACCCTGTTGCGAAAGCGAAAGTAACGCAACAAGAATGCCACAAGTGTTTAAAAAATTCGGGAGGGATCCTTTAACTGCCATTTTACGAGCCGCGCGAAGACATAATGAACATACAATAAAATCCGGGAAGCTGGATGCGATCCTGCGACATCAACCTGTGCTTCCCAGAACAAGATAAACATCCCGTCATAAAAATGCGCGCTTGTCGTAGAGATCCGGACCCCGGAATTATCCGACCTACCGCAAGCGCTTTCATATTTTTATATTTTCGGGCGGGGCAATTGCCCTCATGCCGCGTTCTGACACCTTGACAAGGTCAAGAAAACCATCTTAGGTGTCAACGAAGTGAAGAATGTTGAAAATTGCCGGTGGCATGTAAAATTTGATGAATCTAATGTATTCAATTTTTTTTTTTGTTCATGAGATTTGAAGACAGCTCATCGGCGTGACATTCTGCGTCTTACGATTATGCGAGAGATATTGTGCTCATTAGTTGTACGACTTAGATTTTTACAACTTTTCGTTCGTAATATTCCCTGGATCTTGCATGAAGTACAACCTTGTCTTTGTGCTTATTGTAAATAGATTTTCGGGGAAAAAATTAATTTATCTTTAAAAATTTCGACCTGGTTCAAGTTATTTTTACTTGCATCCCCCAAAAAACCGGAAAAAATTTGAACTGAGGTTTACACAAGTCTTTTAAACGTAGTCACAAAAGTATTGCCGTGTGAGAAGTTTTCGCTGACATTTTACTTTTAAGAGAAGGAAACTCCCGAAATTGTAAACATAAATTTCTTCGCTGAAAAACAACATTTTTATACAGCAAATTTGCAGATTTTTTATTTTTATTTTCATGTTGAGAAAATGTTGTTAACTTTTCCTTATTAAAATTTAAAATAGCCCATTAAATTAGCAACGCTGCACATTCAAACATGTGTTTATCGACTTCTTTAATCGAATCATTGAATGCGCATATCAAGTATAACGAACTGTGATCAAAACTCGATTATTATTGACAGTAAGAATACAAGTAACTTTTAAAGAACATGCGTGTGTAGTTACAAGACCATCTGGGAGGATAAATCAGTATAGATCGCCCGAGCATCTCATCCTGTCGCCAACTTAGGGAGTAAAATTTTTCTAATTCTTTTCAGAGGGCATAGATAATCCAAGACTTTAAAGTTCGAATTCTCTGGCAATTTGTCCTTCCTGTATTCTTTGGCCTCTACGGCTGGCTTCTGAATGTTTAGGTCATCCAATAATAGCTCTATGCGGTGGTCTCCAACAGAAGCTCCGAGGCATTTTAACTTATCCGACCGTTGAAAATTTTATCATCTGCTGAGGTAGAGGGTAGTGAAGGTCACTCGAAGATGTTTTAAATGTCAGAAGATGATAAGGCGTAAATTAGGAAACATGAAGGAGAATTAAAGTCGGTTGCACTTCGAGTCAAAGTTTTAAACTTTTCAGTTGCTTCATTCT